GTCTTGGAAACCCCAAGAGGTCAACAGAACTGTAGCTCTGAAGTATCTAAACCTTTGTGGTTTTCAAATCAGCTTAGCATCTGTTTTCTGTTTATCCTGTTTTAACCAGTGCTGTGACCTTTGCTGACTTCCCCCTGGAATGTCCCAACAGAGGACTTCCTGCCTAGGGTCATCTTTCAAGAGAATAAGGAGGAGGAGAAATCCAGCCCTTGCTCTTTGAGACACATGGGGAGTAGTGTGCTCTGGAGGAAAGGACACCTTTTACTAATTTACACTAAGCTGTAGCATAAGCCTCCTAATTGCCTATATTATTTCACCTCCTGTTCTTCTTGATCCAGGTCAAACCTCCTACCTGAATAATATCTCCAAAATGCAAATGTGATCACACTAATGCACCCCCATTCCAAAGTGCTAATGAAGTAAAGACTCTTAGCTTGGAATCCAAGGTGCCCTGAGAGTTTCCAGATTCAAAACACTTGGTTTAATTTGAATTTTAGATAAGCACCAAATAATGTTGCTAAATCAGAAGCCCTCCCTTTTCCCAATATGCTTAAACTAAAGCTTTAGCCAATTGGGATATTGAGTGTTCTCAAACAGGTGTCATTTCTTAGTGCATTTGTTATGGCTATCTCTCCACCTAGAATGTACTCCCTACTTCTGACCCTCCATCAAAATCCTGTCATCTCCGTGCAGCCAGAAGTGTTTGACGATGGCTTCAAACACACATGATCATTCTCATTTTTTAACAACTTGGCATTTTGTGTTTCCCCTATCTGTGGGCAGGGGTATCCTGTCTTGTCTCCTCCATTAGTAGAGCTCCTGACGGACAGGGATCACTGTGCCATCCTTTTATCCCTGCAGTGACTAGCACAGAGTCTATACATAATTTACACTAATATATAGCTGTTATGTCACCAGCATTTACCCCATAGTGATTTTAATAATTGTTTTTAATTACTAACTGGAAACAATGAAGGATGATTCATTTTCTGGAGAAGATCCACATTTGTCAAGTTTCAGGTATAGAACAATAGAAGCTGAACCACTTGGAAGTATCAATTGTGATTAGGCAATTCTCATGAGAGACAATAGCTATCATAATTTGGAATGTGTGATGAGTCAGAAATATTATGCTTCTCAAGTTGTTGTGGTGAAGAGAGAACGTGAGGTGATTATAAAGTTATTCAAGGCTATTTTCAGACTCATCAAGGAGGAGCAGGACTATCATATATCTTCTTATTCCACCTCCCTACTCCTTGCCTCATTTCCATCACTCTTGCTTGCCCCTGCACAAAGTTATTATGCCATTTTCTATACTATGTATTACATAATGAGGCCTTTACTGGGAAACAGATGTGGTAGACAAAGACAATCAATGTTTTCAGGCATGTAGTCCCTTATAGAGAAAAATGTTTTCTAACAGAGGATATGCCATTTACTTATAAAAGTGAATATTTTGGGAATGGGACAAGACCAATTCATTTAACCATCATGGAGATGGCCAGAACTTCTGATAGTCACTGGCTTCTGGTACTGCCTTTGAGGGCAAATGGTTATTAGTGTCTAGCCATAGAGTGTTTGAATATCCTGTCTGTCTTCCTTTCTCTTCTTTGTATTTTCTTTCACCCTAGACCTGTAAGGAACATGTTTTCACTTGTTTGAAGGTAAATGGAGATAATATCTCCCTTCAAAATAACTACCCACAGTACAGCTACTGAAGGGGTACACAACCTCAGTAGCTATAGGAGAGAAGCCTGTCTGCTTTACTGCTCTCACACTGGTCAACAAACCTCTCCACGACACATGACTAAAAATGGCCAGTGAAACACAAAGATGAATAATTCTCCTGGACTGTCCTTAATTCACCCCATGCATATCCTTAAAAGTTAATATGATGTAGCTGTAAGGGCTCAGGGGAGATAAATGGCCAGACTAAATATTTTCTCATAACACCTTCCTAACTATGCATAGCAATATAAGTAGATGGGAAGATAATTTTCTAATCTCAACACATGACCTTTCTTTGACTAAATGGTCACTTCATATAATTCAAAACTCCTTTATCGGGATGTTAACTTTAATGGATCTGTAAGGAATACTGTTTGTCAAGATTAATGTATTTCCAGGGGGTGGTTCAAGACATAATAGGTGTACTTAATGTAGCTTTATAGTCCTGACTTCAAGTTCTATTGCTTTAGGAATTTATATATGAGTTTTCACATCATTCAACCCCTTACCCAACAATCACTCCTCTCTACTTTCTTATTCTTTTTTTTTATTCACTTGTTCGTTTTAAACAAGGAAAACCTAGTACACTGGCTTTGAAATGAATAAAGCTATCGTGAATTAGTTAGACTCAGCACCCTATTAATGAAAACTATGGATAGTTTATTGCTCTCTGGCCAACATAAATAATGCAACTCTTTTTTATGAGCCCAGTACTCATCAAATCCAAGTACGTGGCAAGCATTTTTGCCATGTACATGTGTGTCTTTGTTCCAAACCCTTATTTTATCTACGCCCATATTTTTGTCTATTGAAAAAAAATTGAAGCTGAGTATGGTGACTCAGGCCTGTAGTCCTAGTCACACAGGAGGGAGGACATCAAGCTTAAGACCAGCCTGAGCAACATAGGGAGACCCTGTCTCAAAATTAAAAACATAAACAGAGAGGGCTGGGGATATGACTCAGTGAGAGTGCTTGACTAACATGTACAAGACAAGACCCTGGGTTTGATCCTCAGTACTGAAGGAAAAAAATTGAAGTTTTATCTTCCATATCTTAGAAAATCAGAGCAGATATTTAAAGTTGCTTTGTATGTAAAAAAGTATAGGTTTACAGTGGCTTGGGGAGCTGAGGCAGGAAGATGGCAAGTTCAAAGCCAGTCTTAGCAACTTAGTGAGGCCCTAAACAACCTAGCAAGACTTTGTCTCTAAAAAAAGAAATATAAGAAAGGGCTGTGGATGTGGCTCAGTGGTTAAGCATCCTTAGGTTTAATCCCCAGTACAAAAAAAAAGAAAAGAAAAGAAAAGAAAAACTTAGGTTCAGCACTCAGAGGGAAAGATCTTAATTCTGAATTCTTCTTACAAAATTTGAGCTACTTAACTACTCTTAGCTCATATTCCCTTTTTTAATAAAAATATTTTTAGTTGCAGATGGACATAATACCTTTAATGTGTTTATTTAGTTTTTTTTTTTAATGTGGTGGTGGAGATCAAGCCCAAAGCCTCATGTATGCTAGGCAAGTGCTTTACCACTGAGCCACAACCCCAGCCCTCATATTTCTTTTCTGCAACATGTGGCTACTTAATATTTACCTCGGTGTGTGGTAGGTAAACATTTAATTAAAGCAAACAGTTTTTAGGCAATAATCTTGGCTTCAGTTATCCCTGTAATGTTAATAAAAAAAATTTCACATCTCTACATTTCTATAACAAATATTTTTTAAGCCAGAGAATGCAAACAATATACACTCATGTAAAGATTGTTGATTTTACCATTGTTGATGGGAAACCTGGAACTCAGTGAGACAGTGGCCTGACTTTAATGTTAAGAGCTAGAATAACACTTAGGTTTCTTATTCTGGAGTTCAGATCAATGTCAAGGTGAGATTCTGGGTCCTCCCATGGTGGCTGTCAAATTACAGGATTGTACTGGTCTTGATTATACAAACTAAAAACTTCATTTGAAATTGAATGGCTCTATAGAGTTTTCATTGTGTTTGATATGGGCTCGCTCAGATGGGAACCTCACAGCAGTACTGTAGAAAGGACAGAGGTGTGTTGGTGAAAGCTGTCCACACGCTGTGTCTGTACATTTAGGAATAAATCATGGTGCTCTTCCTGCTGTTCGGGACTCTTCACAACTTTGAAAAATCATTAAGGATTCCATTTGCACCTCCCTAGTGGGAAGTTAAGAAATAAAATCATACTAGCCAGTGTACATTTCAAATAATTACAATACTATGCTTTTTGTCTAGGCAGTACTCTTGCAATAACCTTCTGAGACATTAGGGTAGACATGGAAGGGCCCTTCTCAAAGCCAGGATTTAGTTAAAGAAGTCTCAGAGTCACTTCTTCCTCCATCACCCTCCAGAACTCTGGTCTCTTCACCTCTGATTCTCATGCAAGAGAACAAAGAGGGGAACAGAAAGGGGATCCCCAAAAAAAGGAGATGAAGGGAAGAGAAGGAAGGTGGAGAATGCAGAAGAGGGAAATAATTGGACTGGCACTTAGCAGTTTCTCGGTAAATGTTTACAGTGGGCTGAATCTCCACTAGCACATGTATACTCAGTTGAACTGTAGTTTCATTAACAATGAACAAAGAAAATCATGATGGATTTTGAGTATTTTCTATGAAAGAACATTATGGAGAACAGTAATCCTTAATGCTACCAAACATCATTCAAAAAGAAATGAGTTCAGAGCTGGGGTTGTGGCTCAGCAATAGAATGCTCGCCTAGCATGTGCGAGGCACTGGATTCAATCCTCAGCACCACATAAAAATAAATAAATAAGTGTCCAACTACAACCAAAAAAAAAAAATAACAAAAAGAAATAAATAAAAAGAAATGAGCTCCCCTGTAGCGTGAAAGAGTAAAGGTGGGCATGAAGACAATTTCTTTAATAGGAAAAATTGTGAAATAATGGGAAAGGTTAATGGAAATGACTTTGGGATTTCTTTCTCAGAGCACATTTTTACCTATCTGGGATGATTAGAAGTAGTCCATCTGAGGGCAGGAGGAAGATATGCCTTGCTCTGTGTTTCTAGATGAAAAAAAGGACACATGGTGGGCAATGGGGGTGAGGGCAAGGAAAAGATGTGGAAATAGCCAATGAGAGCTTCTTGAGCTACCAGATTAAAATGCAGAGATCCATCCCTCCCATTGCTAATCTCCAGACTGATATTGTTCTAGAAAGGCACCAGCTGGGTGGAGCCAGCACCAAATCCAGGAAATGAATGACTGTGTCACTAAGCTTGTCCTTATTCTTGAATGGCAGGAATCACCACAGTGCTGACCATGTCCACCATCATCACTGGCGTGAGTGACTCCATGCCCCAGGTGTCCTACATCAAGGCTGTGGATGTGTACTTGTGGGTCAGCTCCCTCTTTGTGTTTCTGTCAGTCATTGAGTATGCAGCTGTGAATTACCTCACCACTTTGGAAGAGCGAAAGCAATTCAAGAACAGAAGGAAGGTACTGCCTTGCTTTGACTATCAGATCCCTTTGCAATGTGGGAAACCCTATCCCCTTCTATCACCCTCTCTCAACAGAACTACAAGCCCTTGTATTAAGTCTGTGTGCCTTGGCAAGTTGTCAGATTTACAGGAGAGTGACAATTTAATTTTGAACTTTAATCTCTGTTCTGCTTTGACTGGTTTCCTCAGCATCCTCATTCACTTTATGGGGAGTTTTTGTGCACAGAGGATTTCTCTGAGTGTGCCCCTCTCCCCTGACTGTACCCTTTGAAAAAAAGAGATTGTTGCACAAACCACAGCCTCTGAAGTGGATGATGATGATGATGATAGCTAACAGCATAAATGGTCATAATATATCGACATAATGCCAACTTTCTAACACATATTATGTAATTTAATTCTACTAGTAACCCCAAGAGGTCAGTATTTTATAACCTTCATTTCAGAGAGGCAGAATAAGTGCAAGCAAGGTCATACATATAAAGGGGAATCAGGGTTTGCTTCTGAATCTTTGACTCCATATGCTATCCTTTCAAACAATGAATGGTATTTCTCTCCACCAAGAGATGGAATATATTTTTCTCTTCCTTTCAATCAGAAAAGTGCTAGAGCAAAGATGGAAGTTTTCCCCCCACCAAATCCTAGGAATAAGGTGCCTTGTGGGCTATATGTATTATTGTGTGTTTGTGTGTCTGTGTGTGTGTGAGAGAGGGGAGAGGGAGCGAGATTGCTTTATAAATGTGGATAGATTTCTCTCTGCTTCATTTCACAAGGATTTGGATATCAGTTCCCTGTTCTTGTGAGAACTAACATAAAATATTGTATTTCAAATCCTAACTAGTAAAATTCATTCCTTTGCTAGCCTATTTAAGAGACCGTGTGTATATGTACATTCATATATATGTTATTATTTTTACTTCCGAATATTACTTAATAACTTTTGGATTTCTTACTGAGCATTTTGTACTTTCAGAGTGCTTTTACATCATCTTCCTGATCTGAAAGTTCATATCCATTCCCCAGTGTGGGTCTCACAGGGATTATTATCTCTATTTTATAAATGAAGAAGAAGAGTTTCAGTGAAGTAAAGTGATTTGCCAGAAGGCTCAGGGTAAACCGAGCTGCCATTGCAATTCAGATTTCCTGGGCTGCTGACTTCATTCTTTCATTTTATATCTCTTGAGTCAAAGTTCTAATAAGAGCTGATTTTGTTTTATCGCAGATGCTACAATTTATTTTGTTGACAGCATGGGGCCATGTGTCTCACACACACACACACACACACACACACACACGGTGAGGTGTTATGCAGGTGTGAGGAAACCGAGAGCTTTTAGATTAACCATGTGCCACAGTGGTGTGTACACATCACCTGCAGCATTCTTGTCAAGACTCTGACCCAACAGGTCTGGGCATAACCTGCATTTTTAACAAGTTCCAGGTGATACTGATGCTGTTGGTCCATTAGCCACACTCAGAATAGCACTGATTTGGATAATCTGTGAAGTAAGCAGTGATGGGAAAATAATGTGTAAAGAGGGAAAGAATTTTGTTTTTGTTTTGTTTCAATTTGGAAAGTTGTAAACCCAAGAAATAGGCATAAAAGTAATTTTGGTCAACCTCATCTAGTCCTTTGACTCCAAAATATCCATGTTTCCCTGTTGTCACCTGCCACACAACGTGCATTTTCTTGCTACATGGCTTTTTTTTTTCATTTGATAATATCATACAGAATTTTCTTAAATATGAAAATGAAGAGGTTCTTTTGAGTTAATAAGCATTTTAATGCTTTAATTATTTATAATGTTTTAAAAATTGTTTAATTATGGTAAAATACACATAATTTACAATTTCCCATCTCTTTTTGAATAGGGTTGCACTAAGTTACTCAAGCTGGACTTGAGCTTGTGATCTTCCTGACTCAGTCTACCAAGTAGCTGGGGTTACAGTACATGCACTACCATGCCCAACTTGGAATTTCCCATCTTACTTATTTTAAAATGTATAGTTTGGTAGTGTCTATTCCTGTTGTTGCATAATCAATCTCCAAATATTTTTCTAATGAACTGAAACTTCCCTTAAAGAACTCCTCATTTTTACCTCCCCAAACGCCCTGGAAACTACCATTCTAAGCATTCTCCCCTTAAAGGTACAGTTATCCCAAAGAAATTTTCTTACTTACCATCATAGACCCATGGGAGGAAATGAAGAAGTGATCTAGATTTAGAAGAAAGGATGCCAGACAGAATTCTATCAGTTCCCAGCTTTGTGTTCTAGGCTGACTCGTTTATCTCACAGAGCTGATGTGAAGGTCAAATGATATAATGAATGGGTATGAAATCTCAGTAAACTATAAAGTGCACGTGAATATTCTTACTACAATTGGTGTTAAGAGCATATAGTTTAAAGGAGCAAGAGTTTCCATAGGGATAGTAGACAAAGGCTGCTTGAGATGAGAGGATTTTGAAGGAGTAGGCTGCCCTAGAGAGGAGGTAGAAGCATATGTCTACAGGTTTAGGAGCTAAAGTTGAATTGAAACCAGCTTCAAAGAAAGAGCAAGATGTGAGAGTCATACACTTGGCTACTATGTCACCTTAGTTTTTGATAACATAGTTTGTTGAATGTTGCTTAGATCAGAGAGCAGGGCTCACTAATATTTATTTCATCACTGATTTAAAAGTACTTACTCTTTTCATCACTAGCAAAACTAAACAATTTAGGGTTCCCCCGTTAGGTCTGTCTCCTTTTACATCATTTCCGAAAACAGACCTGGTACAAATGTGGATCCCAAAGTGCAGACTCAAAAGGGTCTGAGTCACACATGCCAGCTCCTTTCCCCAGACATCTAGTGGGGAATGGTTGAGGGATGGTGAGAAAGGCCTTAGAATGTTGGGCCAGTGGAGATCCTCCCCATGAAATCATGAAGTCAGGCAAAGCTCCTTCTTACCACCACCATCACCACCACCACCACTTCTGCTGCTCTCACACCTGTTAGATATCAAGAACTCAGAGAACAGCAAGGACCATGGAAAAATTATCTCTAGTATTGGTCTTTGTCCGGTAAGGAGAAAGGAAGGCACTTTTTTCTTATCCCTTACCCAAATGTTTTCCTAATTCCAGGACCTAGAACTCAGTCTAAAATAGTCAGATATATATATATTATAGCTTATGTGAAATATGCCTTAGCTATGTGCTTATCTATAGCCTGAAATGAAAAATGAGAGACCAGTTCTAAAACTCCTTCTATTGGACAAGTGACTTATAAACTTGTGAAAAATAGCAGCCCTGTTGGAAAGTTGGTAAAGACTACAAGCTTTAATCAATTACATGTTAGATTATCATAATAGAGAAAGAAAATGACAACCTTGTTCTTCCAAGATTCGTCTTCTTTTATCACACTAATGACAATTTTGTTCAGCTAAAAAAGCAATCTGCTAGGATGATGACTCAGCGGTGTTCTGGATGGCTAGGGAAACCACTGACGAAGCTGTTCATAGTTTTTCCATGCTCAGATCAATAGTTGAATATATTATTAATATTATTGACTACCTAAAGTCATTATTCAGTCTTGATCTCATTGCATGGTTATTTTGTCCATTTTCATTTTATTATGGAAAATATTTACAATTAAAAGAAAAAGGGACAACCCCACTCAAAGTATGGGTCCCTGATTAGTTCACTGACTACACAACATAGCCTTCATGTCTTTTGAATTCAGTAAAACATTAGGTTTTTATAAACCAAATACATATCTTGAAAGGACTTACTCTGCAGCCTCTGATATCAACTCTGAATAATTTTGTCTAGAGTAGCCTCTCCATCTTTGCTCATTTTTCAACTTTCCTATAGATCAAGAAGTGATTTTGTCTTCTCAAAAAACAATTACTAACCACTGCTTCCTAGATATTATCCTATACTAGTGAGCACAACTATCTCCCTCAGAGTAAAACCTTAAAGAAAAATTTCAGTTCAGATTCAATCAGATACAAAAGCCAGATGCAATCAGAATTTGTTCCTTAAAAAAAAAAAGTCAACTTCATGTTTATTGGGCTGTATTAGCATCATTTATAGGTGCTTTTAAGAAAAAATATTTGCATTTTTAAGATAAATGGATGATATGTTCTGTTTGGGGACAAAAATCACACTGACTGGGCATACTGCTATATTCTCTCTCAAGAGGAAAAATAAGTTGAAAAGCAAATCCAATCGCCTTACATTGATGTTCTGATAAATCATATTCAACTTTAACTCACAAACTTATGTTAAACGATTCGTACTATTCCAAGAAAAAAAAAAAGGAAAAGAAAGAGGAAAATATGCACAAGGAGTAATAGTCTAGCAGGCCAGGACTAAATTAGAAAACATTGGCATTATGGTAGTGTGACATTTACTTGTATGATGCTCAACTACCTCTATGGGAATAAATTTAAATTTCCTTACTAAATCAGTATGTGCAAGTCTGCAAGACAGTGTTTTCCATTTATTATTAAAATGACTTGTAGTCAGATGCAAGAAGCAAAGGTAGAATTCTATTCTTTATTACAGCAAAGCCTTCTTAGCTATAGAAACTATTTTAAAAATCTCATTTACATTTTTACTATAATTCCTATTCATAAAACTATATTCTTGACTTACTAAAAAAAAAGTCTTTTCTGACAGATTTCTGGAATATATAATATTGATGCAGTTGAAGCCATGGCCTTCGATGGTTGTTACCATGACAGTGAGACTGACATGGATCAGACTTCCTTTTCTTTACACTCAGAAGAGGGCTCTTTGAAAGGACGAGCCACAGGCAGCCCCAGCACAGATTCATCTCGCATAAAGAGAAGAAAATCCCTGGGAGGTAACATCGGTAGAATCATCCTGGACAACAACCATGCCATTGACACCTATTCTAGAATTTTATTTCCCATTGTATATATAATATTTAATTTGATTTACTGGGGTATATATGTATAAAGAGAAGCCTCACTTTTTATTTTTCTCTCCCTTTTGGGGGGTTGGGGTAGGGATTGGGGGTCCAAGCCAGGGTACTGCACATAAGAGGCAAGTGCCGCACCACTGAGCCACATCCCCAGTGCAAAGAGGAATTTCTAATGTACAAAATCTGTATTGGTATCAGAATATGTTTAAAAAGCAAACTTGTTGAACATGAATTGGACCATACTAACTTGACCTAGGAGGGAGTCAGTTATGTCTCCTGGCCTAAAGAAGATTTAAAAACGGACTGATTTACATCTAGGAAAGAGTTCAAAGTCCTAGGAGAATTTTGAAACAGTAATGAGAGTGACAGGCAATTGTATTTTGGAAAAAACATTTCCATAGGGAAGGGCTTTGTAACTATTTCATCTGGACCATTCTTCTCTCTCAATGAGAATGTCCTTTATTCAACCGGAGAATAAAGTTGGCCTGTGACATTAATTCAAGGATAAATTTTTATTTCTTAGTATCCGCCAAGTGACAGATTACCTGACAAAGCTATATTCTCCTAGGGAAGGACATCCACATCAAGCCAGGAGTCTTGTGAAAGACTTCCTTCTCTTTCCTCTAACTACTGAGATTCATATATTATGGAGTCCCAAATGTGGAAAAAATATAAACTTCACTCAATCTTCACTCCTCATATTAAATTAATACTTCCATCACCAATAAAAGGATCTAACGTTTTTTAGATGAGGTATAGCTTTTATAGCTTTTTTGAGGTCTTTGATTGATGACTCTTTTTTAAAATATATACTTTTTTTTTACTTGTAGTTGGACACAATACCTTCATTTTATTTATTTATTTATTTTTATGCAGTGCTGAGGATCGAACCCAGCACCTTGCATGTACTAGGTGAGCGCTCTGCCACTGAGCTACAATCCCAGCCCCTGATGACTCTTTTTAAATCAAATGTTGATTGACGACTAATATGTGACAGACACTTTATTCAGTGTTATATTCATCAAATATGAAATTACCTTTTCTTTCCATCCCTGAGCACTCAGACTAGCAGGAATAGTAATGAATTGGCATAGTAGATGCTGATATGGTGGGAGGAGGTACACTGTGCTGGGTCTGCAAAGTGAAGGCTGAAAGAAGAAAAGAACATCTATAAAGGAATGTGGATCTCAAGTTATCAACAACAGCAGATGCTTTCAGATATCACATTGAGGGAGAAGACTGAATGGAATGTATGTATCCATTAGTAATCTTCAGTAACTTGGTTGAGCCAAGTAAATCAGGTCAAGTGAGTATTAAAGAAATGTTAAGTAGAAAAACCTCCAATAATCGTGTTTTGCAGATGGGAGATATCATGCTTCTGTATTGAGCATTTTGTGGAGAAGACATGGTTTAGAGAAGAGCTCTTGGCAAGAAATGCGACTATGTCCCCTTCCTATTTTGGCTGCTGGAATTGAACTTGGAGAAATAAACTGCTGTATTACTTTCAGTAATACTGAAATACTGGAGTTTATTTCTCCATAAAGTAAAACAAAATTATTTGAATTATTTTATGCCAGGTGAGGAAACAAACAACTTCCTGCTTGTTGCTCAACAACATTGGTTTGGGGTCTCTATCGTTACATGGGGAGGATTTTT